CAAAAGAGACAAATCCTCCTTAAAAAAATTTAAAAATTCTCGATAAGCTTCATCTCATTATCCATCAAATCTCTCTCTCATATATATATATGTATACGAACGTGTAGGCACATTGTATGTGGCTGAGTTGAACACAACATGGACCCAGTTTTGAATTTCTAGCCATTGAAGTTGAGTAGAAGAGCCCTTGTTTTGAGGGCAGTGTAACTTTAAATGCAATCCCCAATTTTCTTCATTCAATTGCGGTTGTATACATTTTTGAAAGTGAAAATACGGACTAGTCATAACTTGTTGGATGATGGATCACTAAATTACATCAACAACCAATTATTCTTCTATTTAATGAATATACAAACAAATAACAATTATTATATTTACATGGTGGAATTTTGGTTGGTCCAATTCTATGAATTCTCAAATCTTTTATACTTCATTGTCAACGATTACGTTAGTGAATATATGTTGCATCCTATGTGGATGCGACGAAGCCAAGCGGTTTGTGGTATGTAGTTTAGTGGAGGTTTTGCTGCAATCTTTTTGAAAGACTAAAGACGTATTCTTCCATGAAAAGATCAAAAGCCTATTTGACGTTTTTCCATTTTTAACTATTACGATTAAATAGTTAAATAAGTGCACATAGGATACCTATATATGGATTATAATAGTCGTTGATTTTGAGTAACATTATTCAATTATTAACCATAAAATAAAAACAAAGAAAATTCACAAAAACCCATAATTTAAATTTTCTTCTTAAGCCCATGGGCCTCACTTAAAAAAGTCCGAATTAGGCCTAATCAATTTTACTAATTGGGCCTTATGACATCATTTTTTTCCTTTTTTTTTTTTCTCTTAATAAAAAGAAAAAAAAAAAACCCTATAAATTCCTCACACCAATTCTTCATCGTTTCTGTAACCGTCAGCTGCTCAGCATTCAGCAACTATTTCATTTCCCCAAATCCAGGTATCTTTTTTTCCATTTTTCCTTTTCAATTAATTATTAATTTCCATAATTCATTTCTGTTTTTTGTGTTTGAATTTTCACGTTCACGTTTCACAGTATCATACATTGCATGTGAATTGTACAGTGAATTTGATTTCGATTTTTTTTTTTTTTAAATTTAGTACAGAAATCATAAAGGCAAGAAATTAGATTTTACAATTATGCTGATTAATAGTGTGGATCTAATGGATTTGAGAATTTTACGCCTTGGGCACAATTTGTAACGCATGCTTCACTCGTGTTTTATGTAATTAGTTGTTCTCGATTTCATTTATTTTTCTTGCGTGCGTGCACAAATACATATAATAATTTAAGGTTATCTTACGTAAAATTGCTTGTGTAAAATTCTTTCCGAGAATCATAGAAATAACTCGATTAACAATGAATTTCCAAAATAAGAAATAAATTATTTGAACTAATGATTTTAAATTTATGACATTCTTTTAGAGCGCGTTAGTAATAGATCGATAGTTTTGAATTGTCTGGTATGATTGCCGACCGTTATAAGCGACTTTCAAGTGCGTGATTACGTTATGGTAGTAGTTTTCTCAAATAGTTGTTGTTTTCTGTCTCGATATAGTACATTTTTAGCTGCGCATATATGTTCGTTTTACGTAACTCAACGTGTATGATTTATTTAATATCTTTCCTTGTCCTTATTCATCTTCATTATTCATCAAGCTCATCTTCGTGGACAAATGATTCATTCGAGAATCAGGATCTCCAAATCCAGATCCCGATTCTTTTCATTTGAATTTTATATTTTAGGGAAATTTTTCATTTACTTTCTGAACGTGTCGATGCATATATATCTTTTTCTTCGTCAAATATATTTCGATTCGTGATAATTTAAAATATAATGGTCACAATTTGTTTATTAAGAGAATGTTACTTTTGTACATGCATGCATTTTTATGTATGCCACTGTTCATTGCTTTATTGTCCAAATAAGAGATTTATTATTTTAAAAATAATTGGCTATTTTGCAAGGAGATGGACAAAATCGTAGATTCTATGGAGAATGCATACGAAGAGTTTGTTAATGCAACCTCAAGCTTTCTTGAGGCTACTCAAACGTCTGGTGGTCAAAAGGGCGAAGTTGGTGATGTTGCTATCCAAAACTTTAATCAACGATATGAATTGTTCAAAGCTGCATGTGATGAAGCTGAAGAATTTGTGGCTTATATGAAACAAAGCATTACAAACAAGTGTGCTGTGAACGAGACTACATATGAAAGAACAAAAGAAGAGTTTCTTGTAGATGACGTCGAATTTGAAAAAGATGATGTGGCACTCGGTTCTCCGATTGAATATCCAGCAACAATGCCTATGACTCCTGAATTTTCTCCGGATCATGTTACATTTGAGGAAGTTAAAGTCGAGGAGGACGATGAGTTGGATAAGAAATAAATTTTTAGCCTTGTAAATTGTACTTGGAATTATCAAAACTCAAATCCTTTTAGACAAGAAAGAAATTATCAGTAAATCGTCTTGGATTCTAATTTCTTGCCATTTTCTTAGGGGTAATGGACTTTTTGGAAGGGTTGGCTTAATCGAAAAAAATGACCTTAATTTATTTATATTTCTAGCTCAACGAATAAATCTTGAAAGAAACATCTAAAGATGAAATCAATTTAGTTGACCTGTAAAAATTTATGTTTTATCTAACATTTTGGATTTATTTTTTCTTCATGATACAACATTGATAGAAGGAGAAAATTCATATATAAGAGATTTATGTATGATACATTTCAAAATTTAAAAGCAAGTCAAAAATCAGATTTTCGAAAAATTTATTTATAAACTAATTAATTAAACATATATTTTATTAATTAAACATATTAAAGTCACAATTTTATACAATTTGATCACAAATTATTGCATTAATTGATCATAAATTATTTTTCGACCACAAACAAAAAAATTTATTCNCACAAATTATTTCTCGATCATAATATAAAAATTTATAGGTTACAAATTATTTCATGGTCACAAATCAAAAAATTTATAAGTCACAATTTATTTATCGATCATAAATCATAAATTTTATAAGTCACAACTTATTTCACGAATCACAACTTATCTAATTAATTGGTCATAAATTATTTCTTTGCCACAACTTAATAAATTGTAACTCTCGATCACATTTTTTAGATTATATATTAATTATTGGTCGCAATCAACCAAAAAATTGATCACAAACGCACCCCACCCACAATCACGCCACCACCATCTAACCATCACCAAGGACGTACCCAGCATTGAAGTTCAGCCCGGGCGGACGTTGACTGGTCAATGTCGATAATTAGTGATCGTAAATTAAAATTCGTAATTCAAAATTTCAAACAATAGTGCAATTGTATAACACATAAATCAATGAACTAATTTCTCATAATCTCATATTATACAATCTTATTTCAAATTTATGATATTGATACAACTAATTTCTCATTTCAAATCAATGCACAAGACGACAAATTTACTAATGGCAGAAGAACCAAGTATACCTATCAGCAAAGAAGTCAGACAGACATGAGATTTTCATATTTCATTGCACTTAAATTTCATGATTTAACATCGAATATGACAATTGACATGACCAAAATAATTCATAAAAACTTTAAATATGACAGCATACTCAATCAAAAACAACTTTTTGACACAAAAATTAAAAAAAAAAAAAAATACAGAAGATGATAGAACTTCATACACCTTTTAGTACATAGACATTGTATATTTGTACAGAACACAGTTAATTTTTGCAAATCCATTAAAAAATCACTATCACAAATCCAAACTTACGGTTTCACCAAATGGCAGGGGCTGAGTTTGCTGACGGAGACGGAGTGGCGGATGGTTGTAGCCTGACGACGAGTTGGCCGAATTGCTGGTGGTGGACGAATTCACCCATCGACACTCCGGTAGCGACAGGTGAGACTCTAGAGATTAGAGAAGGTGAAAAATTGGGAATTTGAGGATTGATTTTGATTTCGAATGAAGGGGTAATGGGATTTGGGTTGGGCCTATATATTATATAATTGAGGATTGGGCCCAGAACAAATAACCTAATCCAATTACAAAAAAAAAAAAAA